GGTCAGAAAAGTAGATGGGGTTCCCGAAAGAATGGCTTACCACAAGGCAGTGTGCTCGCTCCGCTTTTATTCAATACCTACAATGATCAGCCATTTCCTGCTGAATTTCAGCAGGAATTTCAAGAACACAGAGAAGATCCTGGAGAGGGGACTGGACAAATGTCAAGATACTACCTAAATAATAATCTCAAACCCAACCAAAGTAAAACCCAAATCTGTGCCTTCCACCTATGAAACTGGGATGCAGAGCAACGCCTGAATGTCACTTGGGGAGACCAGAGCCTAGTGCACCAGAGTCACCCAGTGCACCTCGGGGTAACACTGGATCGCGTACTCAGCTACAAAAAAACACTTTAAATACCAAAGCCAAGGTCAACACACGAATCAGCATTCTGCAAAAGCTTGCAAATTCAAAGTGGAGAGCACATCTGTCCACTCTATGCACCACCGCCTTATCAGTTTGTTTCTATGTGGCTGAATATCCATGTTGTACCTGGGGGACGCTCAACCCACAGCAAACATGTCGACACTGCCCTAAATGACACGTGCAGAATCGTAACAGGGTGCCTGAGAGCCACCTGTCCCCTACATATATGCACTATCTGGCATAGCGCCTCCCTAACATCAGGAGGTGAGGAGCAGGTGACCACGACCGGCAAGTCAGAGTGACACGTTCGTCACCCGCTACATGGCCATCAGCCAGCACACTGTCTTCGAGAAACAGCTTCTTGTGCTCCACTGTGCCACTGACCACATCACCATAATCTGCTAGCACTTCCCTCTGGCAAAAAGAATGGGAAAAATCAAGTGACAAAACTGCTGGATGGAGCCGGTGAGGAATCATCCCCAGTGAGGAGCTCGCATATGGTTCCAATTCCAAATAGCTCACATGCCGGAGCCTAAACATACTGAGAGTGGGTTTCGGTAGATGCAACTCTCATATGAAATCATGGCGCTTCTGCATAAGCGAACAATGTGCTTGTCAGGAGAAGCAAACCATGGATCTACTCCTGAGATGCCCTGCAGCACCACAATGCACTCTTCAAGATTTTGCAATGCCAACACCAGACGCGGTGGACTGTGCAAAATATTGGGAAAAGACCGTGCAGGTTGGACAGGTGACACGACGAAGAAGTCAAGATATGAAATATTTGTTTAAAAAAACCCCAAACGGCAATAATCATGGAATAATATTTTTCAAATAGATGATACAATGATCATGATATATCATAGTATCTCCATGTCACAGCAACCATTGTCACAATGTATCGTATCATCTGTAAATATACTGATTTATTTTTTAACACTAATGTAGAGACACACGACATGGAGAAGAACACATCCTCAAAGTGACTGTATGAAAATAATTACATTGATCTCCAGCTGTGATCTAGGAAGCACTAAATGGACAGCAAATTAGAATAGCATGAAATAAAATGGAAAAAGAAAGTTAAGAAAAGTATGGCGGGAGGAGATGATTAATGGAGGCAGAGGTCAGGTCAGAACCGAATGAACACAAATCTCCCTGTGTTCTTTTGGTGATCCATGCTACAGGTCCTTATTAATATCGATTAGAGTTCATCATAGATGTGTTGTTTTTAAACTTGAGAAAAATTAGGTCAACTCGGGTTGACTGAGTTGATTCGAGTTAGCTGTCCCATGAAAATAAGATGTTGTGTTGTCTCAAGGTCAAATAAGAACGTAAATCAATATTCAACTGTGAGTATAAACTGGCTGGCAAATTTCCATAATGTGTCAATTGTACCGTGTTGTTTATAATCGGAGAGAGCTGTAAAGAGACAATTGTAACCCACTGTACTGTTTCTATGTTCGAATGTCTATGTACTCCACCTTCACCAATACGCAGGGATCAGCGTGATGATGTTTGAAAAAAGTAGCCCAAGAACACTATTGTTTGTCTACATCCCGGGTGTGAATGCAGAACTTCACATCTAAGAAACTCATTATACTGTCACAATCCTGAAATTTTGAATTGATCTCATACCTGCCAAGGCCAGCTGTGAGGAGTGGCCTCATTACCACCCTCAATGCGGTTATGAGGAATCGCAGAAGAACCACAAGTCTGAGCCGAGACAAATGCTGTGGAAAGAAAAACATGCGAGTAACAAACACTCCTGGTGAAATAATTTAGCAGTTACATGAAAAAAAAACTTATAATGCAAACCAATCTTACTGTGAGTAATATATATGTGAATACCTTGATTCAGCAGGAAAGTGAAGATCAGGAGAGTGACCATGATTTATTGATTGGGGTTTTCAACACAGTCAAATGACCGACACGCAGCCTCTATATATACGTGGACATACTAGGAAGTGAAATGTATTTCATGCAAAACATTTTGCATAGATAAATGTTCTGCGGGCATGGTGTCACGAGTCTACGAGTCGTAGGTGGTAAAATTCCATCACTACTTAAAAATTCCTGCGTGTTTTTTTGAGTTGCGACAGGAAGTATACAAACAATTGACGAGCGCATTGTGTCATGATCAGTGACTTTCAATTGATTGCCATTATTTTAAATCTTTATTTAAATGCCACATAATGTACATACACTGCATTTCTAAGCTAGTTTATGTAAATGCACGAGTTAAGTCTGTAAATTACTTCATGAAGTCAAACTATTCGATAAAAACCCATGGGATACAATTCACGGAATACAATTACGACGTATATAGCAGTGTGCACCTATTTTATCTGTAAAAAAATAGTTTCTTACCTGTTGCCAGTATGCTGCTGACAACCACGTCTAGCCTACTTAATTTCTTCCCCTCCTGATTTTGTTAGTCATACTTAAATGATGAACTCATTTGTGATTAACACCAATGCCACAAAATGCGTGTTATAGCCACACCAAAAGCTTCGTTTTCACACATTAGACGTAGCATGCACAATTCTGTTACGGTTCATTTACCATAAATGTGGTAACATACTTTCAGAGCATTTAATAGTTACATACTCTCAGAGCATTAAAAACGAGAATATACACTTGCTCGCTTTCTATTGGCTTTATCAGTACAGGATACTCTGAAGAAACAATAAGTAAATTAAATAATAAAAAATCCGATTCTTTATATGCAGCACAAGCGTAGCGCCTCAAGTAGGGAGCGTTGTATTGCGGGCTAATGCTGATTGCTCGGTTTGGAACTTCTGAATTCTTGTGAACGATCATATGAGGGTGTTTTTTAAAATCTGTTTTTGTTGTTGTTGCATTACCGGTACAATAACCGAATAAAAACACGGGTAAAACACGTGTTTTTGCACATACTGTAGAGAAATATCGAGCAATAAACATTAACGTTTTCACTGATGAATGAAGGGAGCTGCCATGGTGTGAAAACGAGCATGTCACATACACCACGACAGTTGCAATGGGAAAATGTCTTCCCCATTTCAATTTCCGTTTCTTAAATGGTTACACCACAATCGTTTGACAAGGTTGTATGTGGGTGGGATAAAGTGTGGATACGTCCACCTCTTCCAATGTTTGGTCAGCGTGGAAGAGGAGACCAAATACGCAATAGAACTGCGTGTAATTAAGGCTATTTCGCCAGCGGTGGAGTGAGCAAGAAAATAATTAATTTCAGGATTGCACTTTTAACTGAGAAATGAGGCCAAATGTACTTAGACCGCTGTGCAGATTGCTCGTTTCCGCGTACCAATAAATGCAATCGCGAACATTCCACTGTAAACGGCACCGTTCCCTACTTTTCCGACTGGTAATCGATTCTAAAAACGGTTAATGGATTACCTCGTGTCATTTTACGACCCTAAATTATATGCAAGGGTGTCGACCCCCAACGAAATTGCGTGACGGGCGCGCGTACTTGGTTCACACGTAATTTGCTTAATCGGAATACGTGGGAAGGGGCCATGAATGGTTTCGGCTATTTCCAAACACAGAATTAGGCGTTTTTGTTCAGTGGCTTAGCAAATATTTGAATCATGTCCAATGTATCCACAATTGTATGCTCAATCACTTTTAAATGGCAATCGGTGACATCCGCCTTGATCAATTATATTACACCCAGTGCGGTAATATTGCACGGTGTGACTGTCATTTTCTATCAATGTTCACAAATCAAACCCTTTTTTTACGTCTTTACTATTCTTGATTGGCGAGTATGTGAACGCACTGAGTTTTCTTTATAATAATAGTTTGTTGCATATATAGTTTTTCTATTAATTATGCTAATAATTTGTAGTAATTCTATAAAGTTGACCATGTTGCACAACCCAATTCCAGCCACGCACGGGAGAGTAACATATCACGCACCACATTGCATGCATCATGGTTCTGTAGTGCTGATGGTGTGCAATGTATCTGTGATTGAATTTAATTCTGCTTACATTGTAATTGTTGTATAAAAATGGGTGAATGTCCATCTATTTGGAATTCATTTATGAAATAACATTTTAATCATGCAACCACGAGTATAGCATATAAAGGTTTCTAGAGAAAAAAAAAACTAATTTAAGGTGCGATAGAAAAAAAAACTCCTGTGTTTTATGTGCTTTTAACAGTATAATTACTTAAACAAATTGGGAGTACGTTACAGAGTTCATAATTATTACTTGAGAGGAGAAAGGGGAAAAGGTACAGGAATTACATGGCAAGCATTGAGAAGTTAAAACGGCTGAAACGGAAACATTGATTCATGTTGTATTAAACAAGCTTGTGGTAATATTTCAAGAAACATTACGATGTAAATATCAGTGATCCAGTATGTGTATTCTTGGTTCTTTCGGTAAAGTCACGTAGAAGGGAAACAATAAAATGATAAAAATATTAAACAATACAATTTTCACGTTTCGACTGCAACACAAGCAATCATCATCAGGTGTTGTTGTGGTTTTCACACATGATGATGATTGCTTGTGTTGCAGTCGAAGCGTCGTGATAATTTTATTGTTTTATATTTTTATTATTTTATTGTTTCCCTTCTATGTGACTTTACCGAAACAACCAAGAATATGAATCCCTGCAGTCACGAAAGCTTTAAATCAAAAGATGCAGTATGTGTTAAGACGGCGATGACCATCTTGATAGTACCGTTGATTGGCCACAAGAATGTCCTTCCAAGTTTAATAACGCGCCATCACCTGCACATTGGAAATTCACATAAAATACAGTTTAATCTCATGAAATATTACTGACAAGCAATATTACAACACACAGTTATTTGTTTTAAAATCGACTAGGAACGTAATTGTAATGTTAAAGGCCAATACAATGGTTGAAACCACTCTATACATCCAATGACACAATTTCGCATTTTATAGCGTAGTTTCAGCCCTGTAAATTGATATTAAAAGCTGGGGACATGGGGTCAATGGAGAACTCATTGAATAATTTAATATAATTTAGATGCATTTACCCTTTAAAAGTGGTATAGTTTACTGCAATATGTTTAGGTTCTTTATCCATTTGATCAGTTACTGTTTTATATTCTAAATTGGAATTGTTGTATATTAGGGAGACTTGATTATTTGTATAAAGATCATCATATGACTGGCAATTAACTTTATTTATATCAGAAAGCCTTACTGAGTCTCAAATGTAAATTGAATAAGGGCATTCACTGGGATTCACGTAGGGTTGCCATATTTTCCATAGACCAAATCTAGACATTTCTTGTTTGAGTCACAAATTGTCACTCAAGAAATATTCTTACATCGCATACACCACTTGAACCATCACCAGCACATATTGTGTTGTCGGGTAATGTAGAACCCCAAAATGCATTTGTTTTGTACGTGTCGTCGTCTATCACTGGTAGGATGGCTTGCTGGAACATGCTGGTATATACGCCTCTATCTGAAATATATAGGGGAAATTACAAATAAAACTCAGTGACTGCTGTGTTACGATAAAATAAAATAATTATGATTATTGCTTGGTGTCTTGAAACCCACTTTCAAATGACCTTGAGGCAGCCTGTAAGAAAGTGTGAATCGTATTCCACGTGAAACATTCATTCACAAATTTGCATAGACATGTCATTTATTTTTTATTCGAAAAATGTGACCGAACCTGTGTTTAAGGTCTAAACACAGGTGGCCTTCCTGCTAAAACCCACCGGGTATTGGGCCTCGAGACAAAGGTGGTAACATTCCATCACTCATTCTTTCCACATTTTTTGGGTTGTGACAAAAAATATAAAAAAAATAATTTAATGGGGCGCATTTTGTAAAGAGTGAGATGAATTTTAATTAATTACCGCACATCAGTACTGTTATGAATATGAGAGCAGGGATGGAGAATTACAATCTAAACGTTCCAATTTCTCATCTGGGTCTTAATGCATTTCTTCCAATTTGCTTTGGAGCCAAAATATTGTTCTACAATTTTCCTTGAGATTCTGCTGGAACAGAATGCTTTGGAGCATTCCTTATAATTTCCATCAGTTAAAATACAGTAACTGAATATGACACAATTTTCTGACGCTTAATATGGTAGATGCGTTTCAAAACAAAAGTGGTCAGCCATCCAGAAATCCAGCAGAAAAGTACTTTTTTTATAATACAGCATCGTATGAATCATGTTTAGTCGAGGTAAAAAGCTCACAGGTCGTGGACACAGGACGAAGCAGGGCTGCACAGGTCATGGACTCGCGGGTGCCGGCACAAACCAAGTAAGGTGCTGCGGTTGGACAGCTCGCAGAGCTTTTCAAGGTCTCGGCACGGACCGGGTAGACTTGAGGCTTTGGCAGTGGTTACAGGGCTGAGTTGCCCTGCGGATTGACTCCTCGGTGTCTGCTGCTCATGGCAGTGTAACACTGTCTCGAGATTACTTTTAGACACCTCCTTTCACTGGAACACTGCGCAAGGAACTACTGCACTGACGTAATAAAAATGTGCTTGAATCTGTCACTTGACTCTTTAATACTGTACTGGATGCATTGACACTTAACACAACCGGGATATACTATCACCAGCACTGTAACACTAATGGGATCTCCTGTCACCGACACGCCAAGAATGTACTGGGATTGACTTCCATTGACACGACAAATCTATGCAAATATCTACTGTTGAACTGTGATAGACTGAGATCTACTGACAACACTACACTTCTGGGATGTACTGTTACAAACATGACTGGGATCTACTGTTACTGACACTGTAACAGTATAGTTTGAGAGCCTTCAAACAAGCAATGGCTCTGCAATTGCAATTCCTCGTTCTCAGTGTCGGGTGTTGTTGTGGAATAATGGTGTACAACATCCACTGGGACTTCCCATCAAGTTATTCTTTACGACGGTTGGCAGTGTGTGCCGGGTTAAATTGTGGATTACTCCCAACCTCTTTCAAGGACGCCTGGCTAGCGTGGAAGACGAGGCCAAAACACACTCTGGAGGGGGTGTTAGGGAGACTGCCCCCCGTCTCCCCGTTCTCCTGTGACCCACCGTCCTCCTGCTCTCCCCCCTTCGCTGCTGCTCCTCGGGGCATGATTTAACTAGCTGCACTAACCAACTCGCAGATACGTCGCGGTGCCCTTCTCGTACACGCTGACCACGAGCTGCGCAACGGCGAGAGTGCCCACGCGTACAGAACATGCGGGGCACCACAACGCACGAGCTCACAGTTAACGTGCACGGCGACCGCGCATGTGCGGGCAAAATATACGCACGTGCGCAAACACAAGACACCACACAACGCACAGGCTCACCACACCACGCACCCCCCTCCCTCCCCGTACTCACAGAGACAACACGACACGGTTATATGTCTACTGGTGGTTTATTCTCTATTTAACTAGAATGATTCTACTCGTGTTAGTGCGGGTCAGCAGGGCAGGTCTGTCCTAGCCTCGGATTTCCCGCCCCTGGCCAATCGGATTATCCCCCCTCTCCGACGCCCCGCCCCCATTGTTTAAACCATGTGTGCCAGTTTGTGGTGATCGTGTGCCAGTTTGTGGTGATCGCACACATCGTTTACAGACCGTCAAGGTCAATCTGCGCCGCCCCGCCCCCCGCCTGCCTGCCGTTGCGTGTGCCTTGGGCATTTTCTCATTGTGGTTCTCAGTGAGTTCGCCGTGGCCATACAATTTTAAGTTAATCCACGGCGCCGCAGTGTCATCCGGCCTGGGAGGGGTTCTGCCAATTCCCTGGCCCTGAGAAACCGTGGAGCACCCGCACGAAGGGGTCTCTCGGGTAAAAACTCAGGGGCAGGTGACCCCCCAACAAGGCCCTACGTGAGTGTATGTGTGTGTTCATGTGGGAATGGTGGGGTAAGAGCTGTGACGGAAGCCGGGTGGCTTCTCTGCTGCAGCAGCACAGTGGCGGCCCCGCCCTCGGCGGAGCGGCTTCGCTGTCGTGGCATCACAGGGGCCTGTCCAGAACTTCCTCTGGTGGAGGCCTTTCTGCCAGCGATGATTATAAAGGGGTGCACTCTTTACCCGTTTAAACTTGTTTTTTCTTGCCTTTTCATAAAAGCTGTGTCGGGTGGTGGCAAGTTTAACGACGTATTTATATTTATGCGATCTAATCCCAAAAAACTTTTATTATGGATGTTTGAACTAATTGTCACCACAGGCTCAGTGCTGTAAATATAGAGCCACCGCCTCAATGCTCATTTGAGCAGGACAAAAACAATCACTATGACTTCATGGCTTTGACTCCAACTTCTTCCAAGACGTCTTGGGCGAGCGTGAAAGAAAAGGCCAAAAATATCCCTCGTGAGGCCAGAAATGGCACGAGCAAAGCAAATTGCAGTGCTGAACCGTCTTACATTATAATAAATACCATGTCAACTCATACAGTTTACTCTACTCTTGTACAGGGACATTTTAGTTTTCAGATCTATACGGTTCAGAGTTTTACACATCTGGGTGTTCCACCAATCCTCACCTCCCAAAAGTTTGCGGATCGCAGGTGTGTGCTACTACCCCTGGCTCGATCGTTTCAGAATTCCTGTACACAATTTGTTGATGTATAATACCTAGCACAGATGATGTGGTCACTGATGTGAAATTACTGTATTTACAAGGCTTTAGGGGTTATTTTCGCACAAACTATTCAGTCCTTTTTCATAGGAGTCACATGACCTGCCCCGCTGCTTCCTCGAGTTTTGTTGCGATTGCCTTTTAATTGTTTTTTTCATCATTCCTGAACGTCAACACTCATCTGTTTAATTTATGTTGCATCTGCTTTGTCTGGCATTATTGTCTCTTTCCCCATGCAGCATGTTTCCTACTTTTCTGAAACTAGGCCATGTGACCTCACTGCTCAAGAAAATAGTTTCAAAGTGAAATTATCCTGTTAATTACTGTCCAATCGCAAACCTAGCAACAGTTAAAAAACTTTTATTTAAAGCTTTCATGACTGCAGTAATTCATATTCTTAGCTCTTTCGGTAAAGTCAGGTTGAAAGGAAACAATAAAATAATAAAATATATATAAAACAATTACAATTTTCACGACGTTTCGACCATAACACAAACGGTCATCATCAGGTGCGAAAAACCAACGGCAAGAAACATTTGAAAGAAGTGGCGGTTTGCATCTATTTCTTTCTTTATTTTTAAACGGTGTATTTATTTATAAAAAATAAACGTTATCACCACGGGCAGCGATTTGGCAGTTTATTTAGAAGGATGAGTCCATCTATGTTCTGAAAAGAGGAGGGGGGAGACGAAAAATTAATGTATGCTGTCTGAAAGCCACCTTAAGCGTGAACAATCAATTAAGACCTGAAATGGTTTATCAAATCCTTCCAATGATTGCTAAGCCAGAATCCATCTTCTCGGTTGAAATTGTCTCTGTGCTTGTATATGTGGATAGCTTCATGAACGAATCTCTCATGGTAGCCAGATGGCTTGCAAAGAACCTCTGTCTTGGAGAAGTCAATGTCAGGTGAGCCTACTGATTTAGAACAATGATCTGCCACGGCCGAGGTGTTGGTCCTACCGTGTTTAAGGTCTGCTTTGTGTTCACGAATGCGGTCCGAGACATGGCGTTTGGTTTCTCCAATGTAACTACTACCACAGAGGCAACTTAGTTTGTAGACACCAGGGTACTGTATGTCCGGAATCACATCTTTTACAGACGGAACCAGATCACGGATTTTACGTAATGTGTTGAAACGGACCTGGATCTTGTG